GAAATGAGACCAGTGTCAGAACTATGGGCTGGAGCAGTGAAAGTAATTTGCAATGGCTTCTGAAGGTTGGAACTAAATGGCCTTATCAGTGCCGGTTTAGTCACAGACTCGCTCAGTGGCTTAGACTCACCAGTCAATGTGAAATGGTTTCATCAGAGGGATTGACAATTTGAAGACCTCAGTGTGAGATTTCAGTCGTCAGGGACTGAATGGGAACACAGATACATATGCAGGTATGTACTCAGAACCAACCAGGTTCAGGTTGCTTCAGCCGAGCCACAAGGTCCACTATATACATCACCCCTCATTCTCCCCCCCCACCCCCTCCCCCCAGAACCATTTGTTCCATATATAAAAAACTAAAACAATTTTAAAAGTGAAATAGTTTGAGTTCAGGTGAGGAGGTCAGAACTGTAAATATGAACACTATGTGGCATCACTCAGCAGCCCATGATTTGATTGAATCAATTGTCTCCCATTCTGTCCAAGAATTCCCAAAGCCTCAGATTCCATTGTGAAACCTTGCTCCCTCCAGCCCAGTGCTATATTATGCAGTTCCATTACCAATCTAGCACCACATTGCAGCCAGTCGTGTTGTAGGCCTGTGATCTAGTGAGAACTGAGATGGGTCACTATTCCCCTCAATATCTCAGCTGAATTTTAAAAAGACCATATCCTAACCAAAAAAACAGAGGTCGAAATCAGAACACAAGGCCCTCGGTCCACTCTCTTCTCTCACCCCACCCACTAAAAAAAAGCTCAGTATCCCATCCAGTGCAGTGCACAATTAACTATTTCCACAGTGTAGGAAAGTGTGTCGGGAACCATTAAACAGCATTCTGAAGGATGAATACAAGACAAACTAGTCAATGATTTGTTTCTGGGAACAATCAAACCCAATGTCACGGACATGCTTGTGGAACCAAATCTGTATAATGGACTTCACCCAATATATTCTAATCAAGACATACACCTAGATTAGAATGAGATGTAACCAGATTTACACCTCAGTGTATTCAGGGATGACAAGACAAATAGAAGCCATAAGGGATATTGCAACACTTGATTTCACTTCTCTTCCAATAATAATTATGTGGTGCTTTGTTTGAGCATTCCACCCAACAAAGTCAAAGAATACCTCCCACTCTGTAGTAATCAGCTGAGTTGAGTGACTGGCATTATTTTGCCCAGCCTAGTTATCCACCTAGACAGTTCACAAGTCATGCTAACCAGCCAAAAGTAAAGTAATCATGGTATGGGTCTCCAGTTACACACAAACCCCTCTCCACCCCAAAAAAAANTCTACTGCCGCAGCTTAAATGAGACACTTTTGCCAATTTGTCAGGTTTGTAAGGAGGTTTCATTGAATGCTCCATCCTGGAAGCCCTCTCTGAAAAGATCATCAGGTTAGTGAGAGGGTAACTTTTTGTTCAAACTTGAAACTTGGTTTTATTGTACTGACAAACCTTATGCCAATTCCTGTTGGCCCATTTTAGTTTTCCCACAATTAACTTTAGTGTAACAAATTGAATCCCTTTTTATTTTAAAAAAACTATCCTGAAAGATGTGCACAGTGAATCTGCCCCACATCACAAAGCTCAGAACTAGAGTCCCTGAGAAGAATGGTTCCAAAAGTGGCACAAATGGTAGACAAAGTTTGGAAAGAATGGTTAACCTTCCTGCTCAGAATGTAGATGCTTGTCTTCCAATGTTGAGCCAATCTCTCACCCATCTTGTCAAGACCCCAGTCCTTTTTGGTGGTGGGTGAAATCTTAGGGCTCGGATGAATCCTCGTCTACAGAACGACGCCTGTAAATTTGTGGCCCAACCTGTTCGCAAAAGAAAAACGAAACTCCAGTTACCGAGTTATGGTTTGGCTTCATATGTTGTGGGTTGAAGTCGGGGCTTTGAAGTCAATGTAGGCTGATGCTCCAGTGTAGTGTGCTGGGCACTAGATTGTTAGAGGTGCTGTTTTTCAGATGAGACATTAAACTGAGGTCCCATCTACCCGTTGATGAACTGCATTTGATACACCACCTTTTCAACATTGTTGATGTCTCGAAACACTTCACAAGATTTCATCATAAAGTGTAGTGACATTAAAGATCCCATGGCACTATTAAACAAGTTTGTCCTCGCCAACAATCCCCCAGATAAAATTGATCATTAGATTCACAGCTGTTTGTGAGACATTGCTGTGCGCAAATTGGTTGCCAAATTTGCCCACAAAACAGTCACTAAACTTTACAATGAAATGTAGTGAAGTGGAACAAAACAACAATGTGATAAGGTGCTGTCTCAAATGCAGAATGTTATCACCACTGAATATACTAGATAAAGGCAAGTCAGGATACACAGGGCCTCAGAGAGATTGGATTTGAAAGGCACGGGGATCCAGTGTGAAGTATACAAACAACGTCAAGGAAATCCAGGGCAATGTAGGTGGCAAATTAAACTATCTTGCTACTTAATAGGGAGGTCCTGAGATTCCTCAAGTCTTCAGACAGAGTGGCATTCCTAGCGATGTAACGATCATGGTCTATTATTAAAATTGTGCGCAGCCACCTGGGGCTAAGAGAGAGGGAATTGGAGAGCAAGAGGAATTCAAAGACTGGCATTTGTAGAGTCAAGAACAAAGTCACAGAAAATGTATTTTTGGTACAAGATCAAGAGCAAATGTTCAGAGAAGGCGCAACGCCCAAATCGAAATAATAAAAATCAGAGGACAATACAAAAAGATGAACATTAATGCAACAAAATCTAAAAAAAATCAGCCCTTTCCAAGGTGCACCAACAAGGTGCAAATCTCAACATTTTTGGAAGATTGCATAATAATAGTTACTGGCTGCATTTGATATAGCACCTTATCACATCACTGAGACGTCTCAAAGAGCTTCACAGAATATACTGTAAAGTGAATTGATTGCATATTTTGTGGGCGAAATGCAGTAGCCAATCGGGCACAACAACAACAAGATTCCATTTATAAAGCGCCTTTCACGTCAGGAGGACGTCCCAAGGCGCTGTACAGTTGGGTCAGGACCCGAGCAGGGGGAAATGGTCAGGGTGAGGGAAGGGAGGGAGCGAGGAGGGGGTAAAATGGTCAGGGTGAGGGGAGGGAAGGGAGGGAGCGAGGAGAGGGAAGAGTGTCGAGAGGGGAGCTGAAGGCTCGGTCAAAGTGAAAGGTTTTGAGACCGGCCTTGGAGGAGAGGGAGGAAGCGGCGAAGGCACTGGGGGATGGAGTTCCAGAGCCTCGGGGCTGAGAGGCTGAAGGCCCGACCACCGATGGTAGGGCATTTGGGGCGGGGGACGTGGAGCAGACCAGAGCCAGAGGAACGGAGGGTACGGGCAGGTAGGTAGGGGGATAGTAGGTCAGAGAGGTAGGAGGGAGCGAGGCCGTGGATGGCCTTATAGGTGAGGATGAGGATCTTGAAATCAATCCTCTGGGGGATGGGGAGCCAGTGGAGGCGAGCGAGGGTGGGAGTGATGTGGTCGCGGTGTCTGGTGCGGGACAGTACACGAGCTGCAGAGTTCTGAATGACCTGCAGTGTGGAGGGAGGTGGCGGGAAGGCCGGCGAGGAGAGAGTTCCCATAGTCCAGCCTTGAGGTGATGAAGGCGTGGACCAGTGTTTCAGCCGCGTGAGGGGTGAGGTAATGCCGTAGTCTGGCGATGTTCCGGAGGTGATGGAAGGCGGTGCCAGTTGTGGTGCGGATGTGAGGGAGAAAGGACAGCTCAGGGTCGAACAAAACGCCGAGGTTCCTGACTGGCTTTGAGAGGTGGAGAGTGCAGCCTTGGATGCTGATGCTGTCAGCGCCTGACCCACAGCAGTGACCCACGAACAGTTGTGGATTGAGCGACCAAATTATTATGTTTATTCTTATTTATTTATGAAGGGATTGTTACCCACAGAAAATAATGGCTAAGCGACAAGCAACCAGATTCCTACTTACTGCTGGGTAAACAGAGGCATGTGAGGCATTAGGCATTAGGTTACACACCTAATAATAATCCCTCCAAAAAACAATAAAAAAAATTGGTCATTTTCAATCCACGGCTATTTGTGTGACACTGCTGTGCACAATTGGCTGCTGCGTTTCGCCCACAAATATACAGTCAATTCACTTTACAGTCTATTCTGTGAAGCGCTTTGAGATGTCGAGAAGACGTGAAAAGCGCTATATCAAATGCAAGGATTATTATTATTACTATGCTACAGGACTCCACAGTTGGCCCATCCAGTACATGGGCCTTTGCTTAGCACAGTTATTACACCTTTTTGGTGTAGAACACTAGAATGTTTAAACATACAAGTTATTTTAAAATCTGCGGTACTAATCCACAAAGCTCAGGTCAGATGTTCAGTGTCTCCCTGGGCTAAACTAGGGCTCACACAACCTGCTTTAGTGCCAACTATGTCCTTGGATGAGCAGAGAAGAACTGTGAAGGCTCTGTTGCTGATTGCCATCGAGAGATAGACAAACCAGGAAAGAAATGAGGAAGGAAGAAAGTATTTTGGCACTTTTGTCACTATAAGAAATGACAAAGTGCCATCATCCAAAATATAGGCAAGTTTCCTTACTCCACACACCCACAAGCCTCTGTTTACCTAGCAATAAGTAGGACCCCGCTTGTTAGGCAATTGTCAGATCGCTTTCCGGGGGTAATAATCCCTTAAAAATAAGAATTTGGTTACCCAATCCATGACCGTTTGTGGGACACTGCTGTGCGCAATTGACTGCTGTGTTTCGCCCACAAAACACAGATTCACTACACTTCTCAAAGCCGTGACAAGGCATTATAGCAAATGCAAGGATTATTAATAATTATTATTATTGCGATTATGATGATTATGATTATTATTACAAGACAATTATTCCACTTAAATTGATGCCCAGATCTCAAACGATTCTAAAGTTCAAAGCTTGATTTTTATTCGACTGAAATTTCATGAGATAGTTAAGTCGCTAACAAACACAAGGGTTTGACCTTACCTCTGGGAGTGGGATAGGAATGCTTACTGCCTCCTGTTCAATATTCCATCTGTTGAGTGAGCAGTGTTTCTGCCACTTTGTGAGCACTTCATATTTCCAGCACTAAAAGGTCAAGACAGAGATCAATAATAAACCTGCAATGGTTGATTGAGAAAGAAATTAATTCTCATTCATTCAATGGGACACCTCTACATTTGAGAATTGTGAATCTATTGTAGTTACCTGCACTTCTGTACATAGAACAGAATCATAGAATCGTACAGCACAAAAAGAGGCCATTCGGCCCATCGAGTCTGTGTGGCTCTTTGAATAGAGCAGTTAATGTCAATCCCACTCTCCAGCCCTTTCCCCATAACCCTGCAAACCCGTCATCCTCAAATACCCGTCCACCGCGTTTTTAAAAGTTGTTATCGAATCGGCCTCCACCACCTTTTCGGGCAATGCGTTCCAGATTCGAACAACTCACTGCGTGAAAAAATTACTTCTCACCTCTCCCCTCGGCTTCTTTCAGAGACTAATTTGAATCTGTGACCGACACACCCACCAGTGGAAACAGTTTTTCCCTTTCTAACCTATCAAATCCTTTCATGATTTTGAAGACCTCTATTAGGTTTCCTCGTAACCTTCTCTGCTCCATTGAGAATAATCTCGGCCTCTCCAGCCTTTCCTCATCATCACGGTCCTTCATTCCTGGTACCATCCTCGTAAATCTCTTCTGTACCCTTTCTAATGCCTTAACATCCTTCCTATAGTGCGGTGCCCAGAACTGAGCGCAGTATTCTAACTGAGGCCTAACCAGTGTTTTATGTTGGTTAATCATAACCTCCTGACTCTTGTACTTAATCTCCCTGCACAAGGCTTCGCGACCACATCACTCCCACACTTGCTCGCCTCCACTGGCTCCCCATTCCCCAGAGGATCCAATTCAAGATCCTCATCCTCACCTACAAGGCCATTCACGGCCTTGCTCCCTCCTACCTCTCCGACCTACTATCCCCCTACTTACCTCCGTTCTTCTGGCTCCGGTCTGCTCCACATTCCCCGCCCCAACCGCCCTAACATCGGTGGCCGGGCCTTCAGCCTCTCTCTCAGCCCCTAGGCTCTGGAACTCCTTCCCCCAGTGCCTTCGCCGCTTCCTCCCTTTCCTCCTTCAAGGCCGGTCTCAAGACCTTTCTCTTTGACTGTGCCTTCAGCTCCCCTCTCAACTCTCTACCCCCTCCTCGCCCCCTCCCTTCCCTCCCCTCACCTTGACTATTTTCCCCCTCCTTGCTCCCTCCCTTCCCTCAGCCTGACCATTTCCGCCCTGCTCGGGTCCCGACCCAACTGTCCAGTGCCTTGGGACGTCCTCCCGACGTGAAAAGTGCTCTATAAATGCAATCTTGTTGTTGTTGTAATGCCCCTATTTATAAAGCCCAGTATCCCATATGCCCTTTTTACAGCTGTATCTACCTGTCCTGCCACCTTCAAGGATTTATTTACCTGCACCCCCAAGTCTCTGTTCTTTCACCCCCTTAAGATTGTATTACCGCCTATATTGCTCCCTCATTCTTTCTACCAAAATGAATTACTTTGCATTTCTCCACATTGAAACTCATCTGCCATGTGTTGCCCATTTTATCATTCTGTCTACGTCTTCCTGCAGTTGGCTCTATCCTTCTCACTGTTTACCACCCTCCCTAACTTTGTGATATCAACACTCTCAATGTTCAGTACACCTAAGTCATACTGACAGCAACAAAGGAAATGTTCTAAAAATAATAATAATTCTTTGATATACTGCCTTTCACGTGAGGAAGATGTCTCAAAGTGCTTCACAGGATGTACTGGAAAGTGCAGTGACCATTTTGTGGGCAAAATTCACAAAAGAATGTGGTAGCCAAGGCAGAATCCAGACCAACTTTTTAATGAGGGAGTGAGATAGAAAAAAAAGAGCAGTTTGCAAGGGCACAGGAGAGACTGGTAAATGGGATTGAATGGATCGATCTTTCAGAGATATGGTACAGACCTGATGAGTGGTGGGGTGGAGGTTGGGAGGCAGAGGGTAAAGAGGGTGAATGGCCTTCTAGTCTACAAATTTCTTAGGCAAACGTCATCATCAAAACAGTGAATTATTGATTTGAAAATGATAGGTCAAGTTAAGGAATTTTTGCAAGTATGTTTGGCAAGGCGGAACCAAAACATTGGACTGAATAATACACCAGGGAAAAACCCAACCTCAAACTAAATGCTCGCTTCCTACTGTATGATTACGGTTTAGAAAGACAAAACAATAAAACTAGTAAAGACTAAAAGACCACACCTTGGTTTGCAAGAGGACCTCAACAAGTTTATGGCATTTTTTGAGTGCTTTTTGCACAAGTGATATTTCAGCTGTGTGCATGTGGCAATGGCAGGACTCAAGAATGCATTCCTCACATCCCAAAGAGGTGGAATGCTGCACTTATGAGAACAATTTACTGCAACCGTAGGCTGATTTCTGCACTCAGGGACCCAATACTACGTGAAGATAGTGCCAGAGTCCAACCAGCTACAAAACACACAACTTGCCATTGAAAGCACTAGCCTAGCGCTAGTCCAGCTTGGACCTACAACAACAAATTACATTTGTGTAGCACCTTTCACGTCAGGAGGACGTCCCAAGGTGTTGGATAGTTGAGGATCCGCAGCCGAGCTGGTGCTTGGGATCAGGATATGGAGATTTGGACCACTGTATCCATTAGGGCTTTGGCTTGCATGGTTAATAGGAGCTGAGTGGGATGACTCGCTGCCCCCAGTAACTGGTCTGTCCTTTCAAGGCCTGCTGATGAGCCAGGCTGGGCTGTGCTGTCATCAGCAGTGAGTGCCCTGGAATACTATGGACCCACCTGGCTCAGGAACTGGACTAGAGACCATCACAGTGGCTAAATTCTTGTTGCCAAGTGAGTGAGGAAGGCAGTTCCAGAGCCTCGGGGCATAGTGGCTGAAGGCACAGCCGTTGAGGGTGGAGCAGAGGACTCAGGGGAAAAGGAGTTCCAAGGAGTCCCCTGTTACCCCCTTCCCAGGACAGTGTGAACTCACACATGCAACCCATCGTCGAGCACTGTGACACTCACCAGATAGACCATCGCAGGAAAAAGGAGGAGTGATATGCCACACATCAGAATGATTGCAATCCCAAATCCTGGGAAATGCACATACGTGTATGGCCTTTGTAATCTTGCACCTGGAGAATGACACAAGAGGACAGTTTAGTTTTTTGGGGGGGTCAGTTTCCATCCTATACCACTTTGGTCTCAACAGCCAATATTTCCCCTGCCCTTTTGCCATCGTGAAAGCCGAGGCTTAAAAAAAACTTACCATTTATTATAGATTCTTATCACATGAAGACATCCCAAAATACTTCACGCGATTTTACTGTGAAGTATAGTGACTATTTGCAGGCAAACACAGCAGCCAACTTGCACATAACTTTTAAACAGCCAAGAAGTGATTGAACAATTTTATCAGGGAGATTGTTGGCCCTTCCTTTTCAATTAGATCTTTAATGTCCACCTAAATAGACAGATAGAACCTCAGTTTAACAACTCATCCGAAGGATGGCATCTCTGACAAAGCAGTGCTCCCCCAGCAAAGGCAGTGGATTGCCAGCCAAGATTAAAGTTCAAAGTCCTGACTTAATCACACAACATTGACGAAGAGGCCAGAGTGCTACCAACTGTACAAGACTGAACTCTATGGATAGGACACAAAAAACAAGACATTTATAGAGATAACTTGCCAGTAAAAGCATTTTAAATGCCATTAAAACCCATTTTAGCATCAAACAATTTAATGCTGTGAAAAAGCAAACATTTTAAAAAGTAGATTTGTGTGTCCTTACAGATCATAAATCTATGTTAACTTGCACTAAGCAGCAAGGTTTTGTTCAACACTGGTTACTACTTCATTTCAGGGAGCACCTTTCTTGTCAGGACATCTCAAAGCACTTCACAGAACTGACTAAAGTGTGTGACTATCTTTTCGTAAAGAAAATAGTTAAAATTAAAATGAATGGTTACAATATTCAGTCTGTACCGACCCCTCCTGTAGTTCAAATAAACTCCTAGTTGATCTGGGTTTGTTCAGACATTGTAAGGTAGTATTTGTAGACTGTTGCATTGGTTATCATTATCTATTGGACATGGCAAATGTAAGGGTGGCAGCTTGGCTCAGTTGAACAGTTTACCAAGTAGATGTTGTATAAGTCTAGGAATAAGAACGCAAAACTTGAGTTCCCTGGCAGCCATTGAGTGTGCACATCAGTCTGGCTGAGGTGGTGGCAATCTCACTTCAGAGTCGAAAAGTTGTTAGCTTGAACCCCCACATTGGTACTTGAACTCAGTCTTTGCTGACAGTCCACGGCAGTGCTGGGGGAGCGAGCTCTGCATTGGAGGTGCAGTTCTTTGGATGAGACGCTAATCTGAGGTCTGTTCAGGTGGACAGTAAAGGTCCTATGGAACGATTTAAAAAGAGAAGGGAGTTTCTATCAGTGACTTGGCCAACAATAAAATTGATCATTTACTTCATGGCTGTTTGTGGGACGTTGCTATGTGCAAACTGGCTGCAGATCAGTCAATAAACTTTACATACAGTCCTTGAACCACTTTGCGAACTTCTGCTATACCAAATGTAAAGATCATTAAGAATTGAAATTAACGGGCTCGTCATCATTTTCAGATGACTTTCCGGTTCACATTGTCAACCATGTGTGAGCCTACATATTTAATCTTTAACATAAAGTCCTGCGGGAAGTTATTTTGAAAAAGGTAAGTTATATATCGACCACCACCAGGGAGCAGTATGGAACTGCAGAAGTCACCAAGGTTCTGCCACAACCGCATTTGATACAACACTTAAATGCCAAACTTTCCAAAGCACCTCGCTCTGAAGTTTAGACTAGTTGCATTTGGACAAGTACAAAGCAGCGGAATACCAGCAAATTTAGGGTGTGAAAAGTGTTACGTTGGAATTTGACAGGTCTAAAAGGGGCCAGAGTCTTAAGGGGGGAGTTTGTACAAGTAGCACAATTTAATAGCGCCCATATAAACAAAAGTCATCAGGTTCATATTTAAGGTCATTGCGTCCCTTCCCTTTGATCAATCAAAGCTGATATGTTACATACTGACAGATGGATTCCTGGAGCCCCATTCCCGGGGCTCCAGGAATTCTGCAGATCACAGCTGCTTAGGAGAGAAACCAGGGTTGCTTCCCATAGGATTGGCCTGGTCCTGGGCAGCAGTCTACATTTCTGTAGCATTTGCATATTGGCAAAAGTTAAGCGGAAAATAAATAGATTCTAGAATACAAGCAGCGCTATTTACACAGGCTCAAGCAGTCTTCCTGCAGTCACATTCTCTGACCAACAACTAAAAAAAAGTGCATTCAAGGAAAAACTCAAAACATGTACCTTAACCTCAACTGCAAAACTCATCAAGTTTTGCTGTGAAGTGTGGAGGCTATTTTAGAGGTGAATGTCAACGTTCAACAAACAGCCATGAAGTGAAGGACCAATTTTATCTGGGAAATTATTGGCCAATTCAATTGGTGAATTGATTATATATTTTCAGCTCGAAACACGGCAGCCAGTGCACAGCAATGTCCCACAACCAGTCATGGATTGAGTGACCAAATTATTGTCATTATTTTTTTTTGAAGGAATTCCTACCCTGGAGAAGCGATCCACCAATCGGCTAACAACCCGGTTCCTACTTATTTGCTAGATAAACAGAAGTGTGCGGAGTAAGGAAACTTGCCCGACATTTCACCCCACCCGGGAATCGAACATCCAGCTGAACGGAGAGTCAGAATGTTTCTGAGGGAGGTCACCTCCAACAATGCAGGGCCCCCCAAACACAATACTTGAGTGTCATCCTAAATTGAGCTCAACAAGAACAAAATTACATGTGTATAGTGCCTTTCACGTCAGGAAAGGCCCTATACACATGCAATTTTGCAGCTTGGAAATACCGTGGGAATTTACTTTTATCCAAGATAGACCGAGTATTTGAGGGAAGTGGGGGTGGGGTAGGGAGGGAAGAGAGAGAAATAAGAAGGGGAAGAAAACGAGCCTTAAATAAGGACACGTCACCACAAACAAAACTTTCCACTACAATGAGCGCAGAGGACGTCTCTTGTGGTTATTGTCAGCCAATCAGACAGTGGCACATCTACCTTTACCCACTGACTTTACAACATATCCTCCAGAGACCAACTCCAGCCTCCAGATGTCCCCACTGAAACCCATCTCCCTCCAGCCGTTAATAAAGAGAACTAAAAATAAACCAAAAATAACCTACAAACAATGTAGGATGAGGTGGCAGTGTTTGAGTGGATTACAGCTAACAAAGACAGCCACCCAGTCCCACACATACTCTTCTCCTTTCACAGAATCACAGTATGTTTTGCCCACAAAATATACAATCAATTCACTTTACAGTACATTCTGTGAAGCATTTTGAGACATCTAGAAGACGTGATAAGGCGCTATATCAAATGCAAGGATTTTTAGTAGTAGTATTAGTAGTAGTAGGGATATACCTTAAAGTGGGGCCACCGTGTATATATATATATATACACACCATAATATCTATGTTTGTATGTTACAGTTAATGCAATACTGGACAGAAAGATAATGTGTGGGATCTTCTAATGGGATTCATTCATATGATTGTTTCACAGTGACCACAAAATATATAGTCTATATCAAATGCAAGGAATATTTTTTAATTTCGTTCACAAAACAGTCATACCATTTTGACGTATATCCTGTAATGTGATGACACTGTACCAAATGCAAGGTTCTTTTTATTAAACCAAATGCATTAGAGTTTTTGCATTTATAATTAACTATGAATATGAATTTGTGTCTCGCTGCTAAGTTTGCAAACATCAAAAGGTTTTTTTTGGCTGATCTGCCCACCTGTGAATGGAACAAACGGACAGCGTCAGAGTAGGATAAGTGTCTATGGGAGTTGTACTGGACATGAACTGGGAATAATAAAAATAAAACAGCATTTAATACAGCACCTCATCACGTCTTATTTTCCTCTTTTTTTGAAGAGATTATCCTTGGAATATAGTCCAATGTTTGCAAGAACTGCTGTGCACAATTGGCTACTGAATTTTGCCCACAAAAAGATGCAATCAATTCACTTTATAGTATTGAAGACATGACAAAGATGCAAGGATTACTCTTATGACAATGGTATAATTTATAATTTCAAGTACATGGGATATACCTTAAAGTGGCATCACCGTGTATATTTCTGCCACAAAACAGTCACACCACATTTATGATTTCAAAGCACACAGTGAATTTCACAATGTGCCACTTGCTTGGATGATTCAGGAACCACTCGCCCAGCATTTAACCATAGCTCCACGTGCAGACATCCGCCACTTTTGATGCCTATTACTGGCACAGTTCAAAACCACACAAAATGGAAAACTTGTGCAGAAAGCCAGCCACTTACCCACAACATACAAGTCTGTGCGAGGCAGCAAACCTCAGGGGAGTCAGGATCCCCGTGGGACGTGTGATCCTTAAACAAGCCCCAGGCATCACTGGAACTCAATAATTAGCTGTGAGGTCTCGTGGGTACAGTCACTGAGTGCAAAAAGTTCTGACTTCAAGCTACCCGAGCAAGCTAGCCATTCCCTAACTGAATAAAACGTTGTGCTAAAAATTGGCCCAAATCAATAATAATCCTTAGTAACGCTTGCACTTGATGGAGCGCCTCATCACGTCTTTGAGTCGTCTCAAAGCACTTCACAGAATATATACCGTAAAGTGAGTGTGGGCGAAAATGCAGGTTGTTGGCAAAATTCAGAAGTTCCAACGTGAATGATCACTCTCCTGACCATTTGGTCGAGCAGAAGAATCGTGAATAATTAAACGCAAAATACAAATGCCAAATTAATAATGTACATGACTGGACTTCTACAGGATATTCTCCAACAATGCAGCACACCCTCAGCATTGCACTGCAGTGTCAGCATACATTACAAGGTCCAAGCCATGGTGGGGCTTGACTCAGAGGCAAGAGTGCTACCACCCGAGCCAAATGACACACAAGCCTTCAATTCACAATACTACCAACTGCCAGAGTCAACACTAGACCTCAACTCAATCATAGCCTTCCATTTGCTAAAGTACTGCTCATCAGCACTTTTCTCTGAAGCATC